GTAAACAGGGAAACATTGCTTTATTCCAATAGGAATAAAGCAGGTGATGACATGTGAATTGCTAAGCTGCTAAGGGATGTTGTATGATGTTTCCATACCAATGGTAAAATAGAGAACTCAGGTGTGAACAACCTGAGAAGCTGTGATGAAGCTCAGAAACCTTAGAGCAGACTGATTCTCTCTGTGGTTCGTGGAAACTAAAGGTACCATGCATAAATAGCACAATTAGGTCTGGATGACATGACAGACCAACAAGAGTAAGAAATAACCATGGCTTCTTCTGATGGCCAAACTTGGCTACTATGTGTGTCTCTAGATGTTCATCTTTAAACCTGAATCTTAATAGTGCTGCTATGGAGATGAAAAAGCTTATTGCTCTCTAAAGAATTATCACGTTTTAATCTCACGATTCCTTCAAAACCAGGCAGGTTTCTGATCTTGCCAAGCTGAGCCAGGACATAATGAGTTGACATAGCCCAGCCTCCCCAGACTGATGTACTCAGATGGATTGGACCACAGCTACCATCATCCCATCCCCGCATAATTCCTCAAGTAAATTTCAATTGTTATTGGCATCTTTCAAATGCAAGTTTAACACTTTACCCATGAGACTGTACCACCTTTAGAGTGTATTCATATGCAGCTAACTGTGCTGTTGAAACATTACTGGAAGCTGTAGGTTTTGTTGGTTTGTGTTGGCTTGGGTTTTCCCCCCCTTGGTCTAAACCTGCACAGGATCACATCCTTAATAGCCATAGTATTTCTGGGTGGCAGAAGCCCATGGGAGTGAGCGGGCTCTTGCTGCCGCTGCTCATATCCAACATGCACTGGTGACCCTGCATTGGTCTGCAGTATACTGGTGGTGCTGCTCTCCCAGTCTCTCTAGGCGATAAGCTGAGGAACCCTGGAAATCCCCAGTCTAGTCACATGTGTTCTCTCTGATTTATTTTTGTGATGACCAGCTGAAGCAGCTTCAGCTCATCAGCTCTCCTGCAGTTTTATTCATTCATTCATTCATTCATTCATTCATTCATTCATTCATTCATTCAGCTTTCTCAGGGGGCATTGGCATACTGCCAAAAGTCATCATGCCACCCTTCCTCTTCTAGGATCAAAGCCACCTCTATTACCCTGTTCCATTACGATTACCACTTAACAGCCAGGCTTCTTGTGTGTGTCTCACATGAGTGGTCGGAGTCTCCAAGCCCAGCAAGACGTCTGCTCAGGGCTTCAGTCTGAGCTTTAAAGGGGTTGTCCATTGTGCTTAATCTATTTGGGGTACAGGATTCAACACCATGAATAACACCTTAAAAGTTCAGACTAAAACCTGGCATGGATACATTTCCCCACCTATACTGGAGCCACTGGTCTCCATTGATCCTATGCATATTTCAATGGCAATTAGTACCACTGAACCAAACGGGATTTGCATTTGCACAGATACTGACCATGGTGCTTTTTAACCATTGTTGGACAGTCATGTTGATCAGTCGTGTTGTCTGAACACAGTCATCATATTTCACCATGGTAACTTTGGTCTTTAGAAATCAAAGGCATACCTTAGAGATATTTCAGGTTCAGTTCCGGACCACTGTAATAAAGTGAATATTGCAATAAAGCAAGTCACATGATTTTTTTTTTGTTTCCCAGAGCATATAAAAGTTATGTTTACACTATATTGTCATCTATTAAGTGAACAATAGCATTATACCTAAAAAAGCGTAACCCTAGCTTTTGATTTAAAGTGAGAGACGTGTGACTCTTCCTTTCACTTGAACACTTAGAGGCCACTGTAGGATTATTAATTGGCCTAATTTCAATATTGCTATGTCTCAAGGAATAGGGAGCCCTGATGAGAGGCAGAGAGACAAGGGAACAGCTGGTCAATGGAGCAGTCAGAACACACAGAACATTTATTGATCAAATTCCCCATCTTATAAGGGCATGGTTTGTGGCGCCTCAAAACAATTATAATAGTAACATCAGAGATCACTGATCACAGATCTCCTTAACAAATATAATGACAAAGTTTGAAATATTGCTAGAATTACCAAAATGTGAGTCACATTGGAGACATGAAGCAAGCAAATGCTGTTGGGAAAATGGCACCAATAAATTAGCTCAATGCAGGGCTGCCACACACTTTCAATTTGTAAAAAATGCAGTATCTGCTAAACACGATAAAGCAAAGCACAGTAAAACAAGGTATGTCTGCATAAGAAACAATAGGGTTTAAAAATGATTTCTCTGTACCACCAAGCTGCTCAGTGGTGGGAAATTCAAGACTGACAAATAGTGTTACTTTACACAGCACATAGTTAAACAATGGCATTCACTAGCACACGAAAGTGGGTCAGAGAATGATAAGGTGATCAGTGACTACCAGTTATGACGTTGTAATAATTGCTAAAAGGCTCTTAGATAAATGAGGTAAACCTCATTTGGATCATGGCAGCTAAAATGGTTCCTCCATATTTAGAGTCAGAGGACTTCTGATTATTGAATGTGGGGGACAAAGAGGGAAGGGCAGTCTTCACCATGTCCTGTCAGCATCCAACATCTCTCTGGACACTTCTGGAACCTCAGTTCTGCTCTGGCTCAGGAAGACAATCTTTTTGCTTCCTATTAGTTTCCAGAAACTATGAAAAAGTCAGCACTGTTCTTTCAAATGCAATGGTACTGCTATGGGATGAGCTGCCCTGCAAGAGGAAAAACATAGCAAGGGCAGAATATTGACGTAACTCCTGGTACCATACTCAGCTGTAATACAGAGTGTGTGAATCAGTTGCCCATCGAAGTGGCAAATACTTCAGCACAAGGTGCAGACTGCATTGTATACTTGTGTAGAAAAGTGTGCATGCAGTCTCACAGCCCCCAGCTGTACTGTTCCCTCTTCTGGAGATGCAGTTTGTGTTTCTTCATTTACAGAGATCTGTGAGGCAAGACATGTTTTCAGGTACGTTCTTCACATACAATAGCTTAGAATGAGGAATAGCTAATGCTATGAGGGGTCCCTGTCATTCACATGTGATTACAGACAGACTTCAAGTGTGCATAACTTTTGAATCCTTTCCTATCTCCATGCCTCTCCTTTGTATGTGAAGGTGCCTCAACTCATATGAGTCTGAGTTGCAAGAATGTCACTTGAACCACATGCAGCACAAAGTGATTAACATGGATTTTTCATATTGATAAACATCTGTCCATATCTAGTAGGGAAAGGGTCGGGAAAATTCCTTCCTGACACTCCAGAAAGCCATTGCTACACGTCAGTGTTGGCACTTCTGGGACAGAGGAACCAAAGCTCTAACTCGATAAAGGCAGTTCTCTGCATTTCTATGGCACACATGGCATTTCCACCTCACTTTTTATCCTCAGAACAACCTTGAAAGGTAACCTAAACAAAGAGGGAGTAATGAGGCCAGGATTAGTATATGGACTTCATGGATGATCAGGAATTCAAATCCAGATCTTTCTGGTCTCAGTTTTATTCTTTCTTCTTCTTTAATGGTTTGGTTTGGTTGTTTTTGTATTGTGCACTAATAAATAAACAAGCCTTAATGTGGTATCTACAGTCTTTCCTCCCTGAAAATGCCAGTACAACTAGGTCTTTACAGACCCTGGAATTTTTTTAATTCAATTCTTATTGGGATGACAGGGCTTTGACAATCTTGTATATTTTGTTGTACAGCACACAACTGATATTTATCTCCTCTTCCCTCCGCCAACTGCCATTCCATTGCTTTAAAACTGCTTCTTCCAGTTCTAATGTGTTAATGCAACAACAAAACTGTTTGCCAACCCTAAAGAGGGAGGAAAGGAATTATTTGAGCATGTGCAGTTTTGCATTTTAAACTCACATCATCATGATGACAGTAATGACATGTTTTTGAATGCCCTCATCACCAGCCATTTTCTTCGTAGTCATTTGCACTCACCTACTCCCTTTAATTTCTGGGGTCCCAATCTTAGGCCCTAAGGTCCAGTCCTAGCTGCACTACAGCCCAAAGGAAGCCAAAGGGCTTAGGGATAAGGGATGGAAAGCTCAGGTGGAGAGGGACTCTAGTGCATTGGCCATGGGTGGGGTGGGGGATTAGAGAGTTTGTATAGCCGAGGCTGGTGGCAAGACCTTGGGGCCTGCAGGGCTGGGCATCCACTCTGAGTTGTAATCTGAGGTTTTGAGAACCTAGTTTGGGGGAATAGGGGAGACGGTTCAGCACCATGGAGAGCTCCTTTGAAGTTCAGCTTAAAGCTCAGAGTGGCTGCATTGCTGCCCTTGTGTCACTGGAGCCCCCAGGCCATTGCAGCGAGGAGGCAGCCTCAGGCACCAGATCCCGGGATGCAGAAGCAAGGTGTTGCAGGAGGGAGCTGTGGGCCAGCCTCAGCACACACCTCGCACCTCCGTCCCAGCCCTCGGCCTTCGGGCATGCTGGAAGTTGCTGCCCCGTTCCAGTGCCCGGGCAAGCAAGGATCAGCTCCCTGCCCAGTTGGTTTTTGTACACGGATCGGGAGGGGTTGCCATCTTGTCCTTCGCCTCTGGCAGCAAAATGACTCGGCCCAGCAGTAGTGCGTGAATGTGTGTGTGTGTGAGAGAGAGAGAGAGAGAGCGCGCGCGCGCGCGAGCAAGAGAGATTATTTTTAAACTCTCCCTCGCAATGGAGTATTTGATGAATTATTCATGAGACGGAGGAGGGGGAGAAGAGAAGAGAAGAAAAAGAAAGGAAAAAAGGCCGACCTGCTGATGTCAGTCAGTCAGGGGGGAAGGAAGGAGGCTAGTGCAGTGAAGCCGCCGTGGTGGTGCTGCTACTGCTGCAGAGCGAGCGGGCGAGCCACTCCGAGGGAACATCAGGGTGCAGCATGCTGCCTGGCTCCCGCTCCACTTCCATCCTCTTCAGCAGCAGCAGCAGCAGCACCAGCCGCAGCCCCAGCCGCCCCGGCATCTCGCGGGCCAAGAGCACCGGGCCCGAGGGGGACCACGAGGAGGAGGAGGAGGGGGCACGATGGCTCGCCTGCGGGGCAGCGGCGGCGGCGGCGGCGGCGGCGGCGGCTCCTTCTGGCTCCTGGTGCTGGCGGCGGCGTGCCTGCTGCAGCGCGCCCAGGTGAAGAAGCCGCTCCGGTGCCCGAGCACATGCAGCTGCACCAAAGAATCCATCATCTGCGTTGGCTCGGCCAACGTGCCGCGGGCTCTCCCCGGCGACATCAGCTCCCTGTAAGTCGGCTGGGGGCGCGGGGGGGGGGGGGGGGGGGGGGGGGGGGGCGGAAAACCCCCCCCCCCGCCGGTCAAGCAGAGGTGGTTAAGTTCGGGGCGTTTCTTTTTCCTCTTTTCCTTTCCTTTTTAACTTTCCTGGCTGGATACTCCAGCCCCAAGTGAGGTGCAATTAATTAACCACGGGGGCGGGAATGGGGGGGGGTGGTTTCCCGGCCTCTCCGTGGCGCTTTTGAGAATTTGGTATTACCACGTACAGCAACAGTGAAGTGGGTTCCCCTTTCAAAAAAGTCACTCGCTCTCTTTCTCTCTTGTAATTTAATCTCATTAGCCTGATGAGAGAGAGGGAGGGAAAGAAAATAGGAAGGCTGGGCAGACGAACCCGGGCCGTCACGCAAAACTCAGAGAACTAGGGGGAAAGGAGCAAGTGTCCATGGATGAGTCTTGAAAAGTGGGAAAAAACACATCTGGATGAGGAATTATTCTGGCATTAACTGCCTTGGGACAAAGATGGGCTCCCGGAACTTGAGAAGAGAGTTAGTTGCCATGGGAAATGAGGGCTTTTCCCAGCTCGGTTCACTTTTACAAAATTCAGCCGAGCTTTCAGGCCCTTTCGGTTGGACTCCTGTAGCTGCTTGCTTGGAAGTAAGCACCGCTGAACTCAACAGGACTTTCTTCTGAGGAGACACGTGAAGGATCATGCTCTTCCTCACTGCTTGATTCTGTGTCACAGGCTGAATTTTTGGTCTTGCCCAGTAAAATAAAATCTTTAAAACAAGAAGACTAACAAAATGGATCCCCTTTCACTGCCTGAAAGAAAAGCAGTCAAAAGGACAGAGTATCAGGGTTTGGAGTATCAGAGTATCACGGATCCCAGTCGCACACTGCAACTGCACCACTTCCCTTGTCATCTGAACTTGGCAAGGTGTGTGGCCATGGAGCATGGAGTGGCTCTGAAACCAACCTCAATCCTTCCTTTCCTCCCAGTGATCATCTGAAACTTTCCCATCATTTAGGTTTAATCAAGTAGAATCAATCAGCAGATAGGGTGGGAAAAGTGCACAGAAAACCACTGAAGATGGGTTCAAGAACCGGAAAAAAACCATTATGTCTATAGTTTGGTAGAGTAAGTGGACACAGCATGGTCTTCAGTGAGAGAGGATATGGCAAAGCCTTCCTTAGTGTGGTGCCCTCCAGACAGGTTGGATTCTAACTCCCATAATCTCCCAGACAGTATGAGTGAAGATGTTGGGAATTGCAGTCCAACCCATCTGGAAGGCACCAGATTGCATAAGGGTTATGATTTATATAAATATATGTATATAAATTATTGGTTTCTGTGGGTTTTTTTCTTGTTCTTCTCCCCTTTCAGAAGCTTGGTCAATGGAACCTTTTCTGAAATAAAAGAAAGAATGTTTTCTCATCTGCCTTCTCTGCAGTTGCTGTAAGTATTGCATTAAAAAAAAAATAAAAAAACAGCTTTAAATTAGTTGGTTAAAGTTCATCTCACAGTAGAGATGTCACTGAATTTTAAAAGAGTTTTTTTTTTTCCAAATCATAGGGTGGGACTGTCCATTGTTGCTTCCCTGCCAGATGCAAAAGATACTATAAATGTTAATTTTCTACAACCTGGGGAAGCCTGAGATATGGTTTTCTGTAAAAACCCAAATTTTGCACTTGTAGGTCCTGTGTAAAAAGTTAAAGATCCATGAAAGGAAAGGAAGGTTTGCTTGGTTAGAATGCCACTGGCAGAAAACTGCTTTAACTGACATGAGAGTATAAAGCTATTTCTGTAATTCTTGTTGATTAGTACAGGGCTAGGGCACAACACAGACATTCCTGGTGTTTGGCACTCTTTTTCAAGACTTATTCTAAAATATGAGGGGAATACTCCCCATTCCACTCCCAGAGCAATGCTGTGTTGTTGAAGAAGCACCTCAAGAGATTGGTTTCCATGGGCCTTAGACACCACTAAGTCAAGTAGCACATATTTCCCTAGCACAGGAGTGCAGAATCTCAAGCCCCGGGGGCCAAAGCCATTCCCCAGAAGGCCACACCTCCTTCTCTGCCCCCCTTCTTTCCCCCAATCATCAATCTTGTAGTGGTTTGTTGGCTTTTGTACAGTTTACCCCTGTTCTAAAAAGCTGAAATGCCACCCCTAGGGCTTAGTCTGGCAGTACAATTTTTATACTAAACTATGCCCTCATTCTGTCCCTACTTTTACTGCTTTTAACCCAGCCCCTTCTACCTTTGGCCACAAGGCACTGCTCCTCTGGAATGGGCATTGACCTTCAGACTAAGAGAAGTTCTGCACCTCTGCGCTAGCATCCCTGCGGAACAACATGTTCCTTTCATCTTGGTATTGGGAAGCAGTATCAGCCTTATTCTCTGCTTTGTCTCTTCATATTTAAGGTGGCCCCTGTGGGTGTAGTTTGTGTCACACATTTGGCTCTGTGATCCCTTGCTCCTTGTGCCTCACCGGCAGCAGGAAAAGGGCTGGTGCCTTTTCAGGCTCTCACCAATGGACAGGGCGGAGAGAAGAGTCCAGCTGATATGTTGCCATTAGCCATTGATTGTCTTGCTTGGCCGATTATTGGTCAATTTGACCAACAGGGCCAGCTTTCCCACCAAGCAGAGTGAGGTGACCACGCCAGGTGGTCAAGTGGGGGAGCGACCAGTGGCATGAGGGTCCACCAGCAGTGTGTGCCCTGGAGAGCCCTGTCAGCTGCTCTCGCACAGGTGGCTCCACTGCACGGAGAGCTGCCACATGGGATCTTGTGAAAGTCTGGCAACCACTTCTTCTGGCCATGTGGCTGTCCACAGATGGGGAGCCTGGCTGCCCACGCTGCTCACAATACCTTCCTTGGAACAGTGCAGTCAACTGTCAAATAGTGCAATGGTTTGCACAACAACTGGCAAAGTGCCATATGAAGGCTCTTGAACAAACTGCAGAGATGTTTAGTAATGTCACATTTGGCTCGTCCTGCTGTATATCATTCAACCAGCTGCCCTTGGTTTATTCACAGTGTGGTTGATTTTGATATATTCGTTCTTTTGATCATTTTAGGGTGCAGTTCTATGCATGTTTAGACAGAAAAATGGTCTGCAACTCCCAGTGTGGTCTGCCCAGCACTGTTGGCTGGAGCTTGCTGGGAATCGCAGGCCACTTTCCTGTCTAAACTTACATAGGAATGTGCCCTTCTCTGAAACTAGCTCTATCCATTGCCTGCTTATGACGGGTGCCTGCTATTGTACTTACACTCATATTTTGTAATGATCATGTGTGGGGGCTGCTGGTGGTGGTATTTTGCTTTAGTTTTTGGTTAAGCAATAAACTTTAAAATTTTAACTTTAAAAAGGTCAGTTCAAAGTAGGTTGCAAGTAACATTGCAAACCAGTGATCTCATCAGTGAACACTGATATCACAAGGACCATCAGGAATCTTCTGCGTTCCACCCTGCAGGTTATAGTAATTTTCCCATGCATTTTGATCAGTTTCACCCCCCTTGGACTTAGGAAATTTAGTCAATATTTCTTATCTGGGCAGATCTCCTTTCTTTTTCCAGTAAGACCATTTATTACAACCATGCAGTTCCAGGGTAGACTGCAAATACTCTGCCTTGATCTCTCCCAGACAGGGCTAAGAGCATCTTTTACACACATCATAATATTGATGTTCATTTTAATATTTTCTGCACTTATTAAATTATGGCTATATTTTGCCATTAAATTTTATTGCATTTCCATTTTACTCAACTGTCTGTGCCTTTTAATCTGTTAAGTAAACGTTTGACAGTGATGCAAAACAAATATCCATCCTTCCTTCCATCCATCCACAAGTTCCCAGCAGTCCATCTCATTTCACCAACATTCTGTCACATTCTAGAGCCCAGTTCTGATGTTCAAAACAGGGCTAAGAGCAACAGGTGTGCCCGCAGCCCTGCCCATTTCCTCTTCCACCATACATTTTGTGTGACTCTTTGACGAAGGGAATCTTCTATATGCATGTCTTTTGGTTTGCCTTTGAAAATGGCCTCAGTGGGAACAAAATCAAGGATTGGGTAGAAAAAGAACTGTCATCCCTAACCTTCTCACCATTCCATGCATCACGGAGACGGTTGCTACTTCACCTGGGTGAAGCAAAGGACAATCAAGCCAGTTCTTCCACTTGGGAAGTGGGTGTAGTGAGTGATCTGGTATCTACCTTTTTTCCCTCCCTCACCTTCCAAATTTGCTAGGCCTTCGATGATGGTGGTGTAATATTACTTGTGAAATATTGGTCTTCAATACCAAACATGTACCAAGTTAAAAAATTAGGAATTGTAGACTAGGCAATCAATGAAATGTGGTAATGAAATTTTCTCACCCATTACATTTTTTTTTTAAACTTTTATATTCCATACTACTATTTAAATGTTCCCGGTCAACTGAGATTTGTATCCAACTGTAGTCCTACTTAGAGTAGACCCACTGAAATTTTAGATTAATATTGGCTATGACCCTAAATTTCAATTCTCTTCTTTTCTTGTTCATAACTATGATTCAAACATTTGCATATTTTTATTTCATTCTAATTGGACAACTATATTGAATCAATAGTTGGGATTAGTGGGAACCAGTGTGGTGAATTTTCACCTTAAGTAAAAAGTCTCTCAACTGACAAAGTAGCAATTCTTGTATTTGCACGTGCTTCCTGCATTATTTTTTCCACACAAATGGCTTCCATGATGTCTGTATTAATCATGTCTCACTGAAGGAAGGGAAAATATGACACTTTGCATGTCATATCTAGTGCATGCCATTAAATTTCAGGATAATGTACTGAACTTTGTCCCTGAAGAAGGGACAAGGGATATTTTTTCAAAAGACTTTGAGCATTTTTATTCCCTGTAATACATTCTCTACTCTCCATCTGAAATTCATCTCTGTTTTGTTACTTGGACAATAATTATTTGTTTTTCGGTGCCAGGCCAAGACCTTTTTATTTAAACGATATTTTAATTGTTAATTTGTTGTTTTTATTTATTGGTTTTAAATTATGGCTGAGATACTCCTAAATTTTTAATGTTATTGCATTTTATGTTTATTTGTTTATTTGCTTTCCTTGTAAGCCACCCCGAGGCTTTCTGCCATGGGGGCGGCATAGAAATGTTATAAATAAATAAATTAATTAAAATAAGACCAGAACCCATTTGCCTGCGGTTATCAGTCCTGTCTCTTAATTCTTTCAATTTATTCCTTTCCACTACTTCTGTCATGACTGGCAGACTCTAAACCCTCTCATGCCATCTACACTTCTGGAAAATTCACGGAGTTCCTCCCCCTTCATCTTCTTCTACTATGACACATATGGCAAAGCTATGGAACATTAGATGCCTTCAGGTTTAGTGCCTTCTTATTAAGATGGAAAGCCTACTAGAGCAAAGTGTGTTTCCTTGCCCCAAACAGAGTTGGGAGAGGATAAAATGGCCATTTATCATTTAATTCATTTATCATTTATCAATGACTTGACCTCAGTTCTTCTTGTGTATTCTTAATAACCCTGCTAAGAGGTGTTCAGTACTGAGTATGCCTTTACAGTAACATAAATAAATTCCATAGTGACACTTTTAATGGCATTTTCTTCTCCATATTTTTATTCAATCTTTTTTAGACTGCTGAATTCTAACTCATTTACTGTCATACGGGATGATGCCTTTGGTGGTCTTTTCCATCTAGAGTACCTGTAAGTCCATTGTTGTTTATATATTAAGCTTAGACTTCTGAAATGAATTATTCTCTGATGATTTACCAGTACAATGTCCCTAAGGAAAATCTCCCCACTACTCATGCTCCTTCCTCTCAATGTGACTTTCTGTGACCACTCAGGGGACCATGAAGACTGGGGCCCCATGAGGTAGTGTGAAGAAACCTTTCAGGAGGAAGATGCTGAGGGACATTGAAAGCAATAGAACTGCTCTGTGTCTCTCAAGCTACTCTACATTCAGGACCAACCCTACCTTCACAGAGAGAGGGCAATGGCAGCTTCCCTGCTGTTCACTTCTGATGGAGAAAGTGTTAAGAATTCCACACAACATGTCCTGACTGAGTGCCTGTTGCCTCAGATATGCTGGTGAGCAGAGTATCATTGCCAGTCCAGTCAGCTTCTCTCAGTGGACTGGGGTGGGGAGCCATCTTAGTACAGAAGTAGAGAAGTTGCAAACTGAAAATGTGTTTGTTGTTTGATGATAATTGTATGGCTAGATGTAATGATCAAGGTTCCAAAACCCCACAAAACTCATTCTACTCCCCTGGGAGAGCTTTCAACGCCCTTTCTCAATAGCAGCCTCCTTGATGCCCATGCTACATTTTCAGACTGAGGACGCTTTCAGATTCCAATTGTGTTATGGCATCAGGGGGCAGCGAATGCTTTAAAGCAAACATATTCCACTGATCCTGCACAAGCTTCCAGGAGTGCCTGAAGTAGCTCTTTGGATCTCAGCCAATATGCTGATGATTAAGAGCTGGTGCTACATTGTGAACTCACTCCAGCTGTGATATATTATGTGTGGAGATCACTTAAATCTGTGCTGCTGATCATACTGAAAAGCTGAATTACAGAAAGTTAAATGAGAGGCATTCATTGAAAAATGAAGAGTTTGACTGTAACCCCCTCTCCCAGTTCAGACATGTGCTCCATTACATCCAGACACTTTCCTTCTATAAGATAGGATTAATGTTAAAGTGGGAAAATAATGATGACCACCACAGCCCTTAATATTACCACTCCAGAACACTTTAAAAAATGACCAAGTTGAGTTCTGTAGCTTCACAGAACCAAGTACCTTCCGATAAACTGTCCAGATGGTCTCTGTCTCATCAGTTACCTCTGCATCCTATATCCTAAGGGTAAAATCATGGTATTTCTGGGTATAAAATGCATGGATCTGTAGACAATTATCGGGAGGTTAATAATTTAATATAAAGTTAAAGTTAAGTTAATGCAAGGTTGACATTGCTGGGAAGGAATAAGGAGGAATTTCTTTGGCAAACCAGTTGTATATTATTGCCCTTTAATAAAGGACTGTGCCCTGATTCTGTCTTGCTTAGTAGAGCCATTGAAATTAGTCATGGTCACTAAAGTCTCATTGATTTCAGTGAGTTCATTCTAAACATGGCTAAGTCTGGATCCAAAGACACTGTATAATTCATGTTTTAAAAGCTCTTTCTACCTATTATTATGCTGAATTGCTTCATCTTGCTCTTATTATATGAAACTAATTTTGGTAATCTGCTCTGTTTTTATCTTTCTGAAGTTTTTTTTGGTGAACCACTCTGAGTTTATTGGATAAAGAAAAGTGGGGACTAAATGTCAAAAATAAAACATAAATAATTTCAAATATAGGCCAAGTGGCTTTGTGTAAGACTTTGATATTTTATGGTGGGATTGCTTCAACAACATACACATACCTTGCAAATGTAGGTGTTATATTGAAGTACAACATAAAAAAAATTGCAGTCTAACCCAAAGCCAGTCAAGAACTCTGATACAGACCAAGTAAAGGCTCTTGTCAATCAAATCACAGGCAGTCCTGAGACCAAGAACAGGCAGTCAGGCCATTCAAATGGTGGTCCCCACTTTTCTTAACTATTTTTGTCTTCTTCCTTAATGTCCTACTTTTCCTCTGGAATTAAAATTTGCCCTTACTGTATGTCTTTATGACAACAACAACATCTTTCTGCATAGATTTATTGAAGGAAACAAAATAGAAACCATTTCAAGAAATGCATTCCGTGGCCTTCGAGACCTGACACACCTGTAAGTCTTTCAGTGCTAATCTGAATAATTTATCTCTTGCATCAAAGTACATTTTTCAGTACTTAAAACTAAATCAATATAGTGCCATGCAAGGCTAACATCTGGTATCCTGCCTTACATGGAATCAGACTTAGGGAACAATCCTATGCCAAAAAAAGTCCTGTAACTCCCAGCATCTTCCTCTCCCATGCTGGGAAATGCAGAACTTTTTTCCTGCTTAAACATGCATAGTTTTGTACCCTTACTGAAAATACTTTTTTCCATAGAACATCTTCCTCCTTTTCTCTGCTGCAGAGAAGCATTTTCTGTTACAACCTGAAGAATCAAATGAACCTACAGCTGAGGATGGGAGGTGATATTATCTGAGTTTTTCACAAATGAATTGTGATGCTTTCACAGTTTACATAAGAAAATTGTGTTGGGACTTCTCACTGCTAGGATTCTTTTTGGCTTCAAGATCAACAGTGTCACTGTCAAATGGAAACATTTTATTCTTTCATATCTATTTCAAGATAAATTGTTTTGTTAATGCGGTCGATAGATAATTCAGACTTGATTTTGCAAGATAAACTTGGCAAGCTCAGCAATTAGCATTAAGCATAATTAAGTGATTTCTGGAGTCTCTGACACATAAACTAGAGCGCCTGAAATTTTAACTGGATACTATTTTCTTGAGCCTTATTTGCATGCTCCAATGCAGGCAGGAGTCTATACAAAACTAATCACTGCTGCCTTCTTCTCGCTATTTTCTCTTCCCCTTTCTCCCACTGGAGAAAGTTAAGACTCTAAGATTACAGTTTCTGGGTTTAAACCATTCATGTAAAATAATTTTATGTTGATAACATTTTAATTAATACTCATGGCATTTAAAAACCCAGTACTTACTTTCAACTATATTAGCCATTCATATCCTGATGCCCACCACTTGGTTTTTCAGCCCTTTCTGCAGTGCTGGATCTCAGAATTGCCCATTGCCACACAAGGCTGCCATCAGCTGTTGCTGCACCCTGTAAGCCACGTGCCAGGAAAGGGACCCTGCAGCAGACCCCATGGCCCTGGTGCTAGAACAGAGAGATCAGCTTCAGAGGTGGAAGCTGCCTCCCCTCCCCTCTCAGCCCAGTCCTCAACAATAGCCAGGACAATGCTCTGCTTGTTTTTGGCCTCTTTCCCTCAGAGTTCCCTCCTAGCACTCCAAAAGCCATGTTTAGCTCTCCTTGGCTTCCTTCTCCCTGGGTTAACATCACCCACTGACTATTATCACTTTCCTGTAGTCTTCTTCATTCTGTCTATTGTTCTCATGTATGATAGGCAACGGGAGGCAAGCCCAGGACTCTCTGCATGTTCTCAGAGTGGGCTACACCTCCCATAATGCCTGACCATCAGCCATACTTGTTGGGGCTGAAGAAAGTTGAGTTCAACAGCATCCAGAGGCCTGCAGCTTGCCCACTCTGAGAAAGGCACCAGCATGGCTGTTGTCCTTCTCTGGGCTCCAGGAATGTCTCTTGATCATACAGTCATCAAGTACCATATTGGAACCATGGAGGTTAAGAGGCAGGACATAAAACCAACCAACCAACCAAGTTCTAGTACAGATATGGCAGTCTACAGAGATCATTTACTACACTGTGCTTCAGATCTGTGCCCAGCTGTATTTGTACCCATGTATGCATAAAAGGCCCTGGAATGTTTATCCAGTTAAATGTTTATTCATTGCCCTTTAAAAAATAAAGTGAATCTGCTTTTTCATTCAGATGGTTGTGAGAATGGCTTCATAATGAACATATAGGCCCTGGTTGCCACTCCATATTCTGTGCAGCTGACTTTTGAACAAACTGGAAGGAATGCTTATTCTGGAGCTTGATTCCCTGAGGAAAGTTGTACAGCTGACCCCAAAGGGGTGAATATACAGATTCATATTACTCAAGATATGCAACTCCATATATGGGTACCTGGCCTTGCCATATGCATTTTCTCTTCCTAAACAACAAAGTGACTTTCTTGTCCATTTATGATATAAGCCAGAGTGTTTGGATTTCCATTTACTCTAAAAGGTTTTATTCTTTTCATTCAAAATCCTATTAGTCATTGTCAACATTGAGAATTGGGTAGCACCCAACTGTTAACAGTAGTTAATGTTGCTGTATTTGGTTGTTATCATCTCTCCAACTATTTTAACACCTAACTTTACTTTTCCAGTTCTTTGGCCAATAACCAGATTAAAGCTCTGCCAAGAGATGTCTTCAGTGAGTTAGATTCTCTGATTGAACTGTAAGTAAAGTGAAAGAAAATCATAAGTATTATTATTTCATGTCTGTCCTTCTGTGAATCTTAAAACAAAGACTGGGATTTTGTTTCAGTTTTTCATTTTTTTAAGCCAAAAGACATGAACACCACTACTAATTTATGCTTTAGCAATTTCTATGCTTTATTTTTAAAGATTGTCCAGCGGAAAAATTAATTTGCACTATTGCTTTCAGTGGATCCACTCTAAGTATGTCTGAATCTGGATTCAGGGTAATTAATTCTTCTGTGTGAATGCTTCATCTAGCTTTTGAATTCAAGCAACACTATCTTTTAACTTACGTTTTGCCAAATAAATATGCATAATAAAGCTGTTCCCATCTTGTCACCTAATTACTCAGCACTTGATGACTCACAGCCAAATGTATGAACAAATCTCAACGAAAAGCTTGTGCTGTGATCCTGCAGGAGGAACCATGCATCCAAATTGGTGGTGCCTGTGCATCTTACAGACTCAGGCATCAAGACTGCACACATATTGACTGGGTTCACACGACACCATAAGCCAGGGTGTTGTGTGAACTCAGAAGCATGGTTTGTTAACCACTCACAAGTCACTCTGTCTGGGTTCAGACAATGTAACAAGCCACCCTGGTTTATACTGCACCCTGGCCAATGGTACTGTTGAACTGAGTCACTATCAGGATGTAGTTCCATTATCTTCAATAAAAACAATAATCAATTCAGAAGGAAGGCAGGGAGGAATTGCTATGTTCTTTTTGCCTCTCTCAACTTGATGGTTATTTGTACCAGAGAGACTCTGACTGGGGCTCCATTCCCATGGCCTCCATTCCTGGAATGGGTTTCTGAGGCCTGCTGATGCATCACTTGCTTTGCCCTGACAAGTTGCCCTTTTGGTCTGGGGCAATTGCATCTGTGGAGATGGGCTGTGATATGAACATGCTGTCCATGTTTTTTGAACAGTGTTGGCTCATTCACACAGAGAAGTCACCATTCAGTGTCAACCAATAATGAGTATGCAAGTGAGGATGCTTCCCAAGTATCCCAGGCCTTCCAGAAGGAGCAGAAATAATAAGTGAAAAATATTCATGGGGGGTAGGGGCAAGAGAAGACAGAGAAGAGATACTTTCCTTCTTTAACCTTCCTCCTCCACATGCCACCCAGATATCCCAGCTGTTGGAAACAGCTGTTCCTGTGTCCCTGTTCTAGCTGGGAAATGCCCATCCTGAACTAAGGGACCTATCAAGGTGAACTGGGCTTGCTGAGTTTCTGTTTGCCAAAGCTAATTGCCTTTTCTGAAGCTGCTAGTGGGATTCTTCCTCACTGTTTAAAGGATCCTCAGGAGGAGGGTTTCCTAAGATGTGCACCTGAGGCAGGTGACTTGTCTCTATTTATTCCCAGCCAGCTGCACAATGTTTTCTCCTATCAGTGTTCAGAAGCAGACAGCATACTTGAGGACAGTGCCCCTGTCCAGGTATCTGCCAGTGTGGGCAGGAAAAATCCTTTAAAATGCAGGGGTTAAAATGATATTAAATGTGCAGTTCATTTGATTATGTGTAAGGCATTAGCATGAATAAACCAATTCACCAAATTCAGTATTTTAGACCCTTAGACTTCCATATGTATTCACTTAACCTAGGAGTAGGTCTTGAAGAACTGTAGGAGACTCACTGCTGAGCAGATATACGTAGGTGGTATCCAGGAGTAGCTTTGCCACTTACACTGGTCAACTGCAGCCATTCCTGAAGAGGTCGGAGATTATTGTAATAACAGATGCCTTAGTTACATCTATGTTGGATTATTGCTTCAAACAACATTTGAAGAACCTTTGGCAACTTCAGCCAGTCCAGGATGCAGCCACAAGGATATTTACTGGTTGATAGGATCATATTCAGGTGTCTTGCAAGGGCTGTGTTGGTTGCCAATTTGTTTCTGGATGCCATTCAAAATGTTGGCTAATTGCCTTTAAAACCCTTAAAACCTCAAATTCAGGATACCTAAATGAACTTTTCTTCCTATACAAGCCTGCCTGCTTCAGAAGATATTTGTGGAGAGCCTCATCTCTGGGCAGGTTTGCCCCCTTTTTAAAGGGAACCTAAATGTTTGCAGGTACTTGTCAAATGCCATTGCCCTTTACAAAGTGAGGGTGTACTTGGATGCCATCCAAAGACTAAAGGGGAAAAATAGGTTGAAAAAGAATTCCAACCTATTGATAACATTGCTAGTGCATCTGGGGACCAAGCAAACTGTTAAATGAAGCTCTTTTTGAATTTGCCAAAAGTCGTACTGGCAGGTTGCCACTCAAATGCGACATTCCCCAACCTGCTGCTCTACAGATGTGTTGAACAACCAGTGGTCATGCTGGCTGGTGGGTATGGGAACTCAAGTCCAACATAATGGAGGGAAGCAGGCTGGGGAAAGATTAAGGGTGTGTAGACTAAGGCAACCTCACTCTTTCTTCCCTGCTATTTTTCTGTATTAAATTGTCCCTCCTTGCAGAGGAAAGCAGGGGAGACTAATGAGCCCTTTGTTGCTGGGACTTCTCATTCACTGCAGTCTAGTGCGTCAGGTTGTTGGGATCTCTCCATGGTGCTGAACTTCATCCCCACATTGGGTTTGCCACCATGACACATCATGGACAGCTCCTGTAAAAGTGAAAAGAGAAGCTGAAGTGGATGGGGAGTCCCACTGACATAAAAACCATCAGCCTCCCACAGGGGAAACACACATACAGAATGCATATTTTCACTGGGGTGATGATGGGGTGGGGAAAAGGGCAGGAAGAGAATGGTTTAAACAGCTGATCTTCAGCTCCCAATTGCAGATTCAAGATTGCTTTTTGGTTTAAAAAAAGTGAAGCAAGCAAAATTGGTGGAAAGAGACACAGAACTCTGTGTTAAATCCCATGTTGTCCCCTGCTGCAGTTTTGGAAAGTATAACTGGTACACAGATTAGATGCTGAGTCATACTCAAGTTTCCTGACTCTGCACTGTCCCGGCAGTTAGAAAACCCCGATTTAAGCATCTATTTGACTATGCATATATGAGAGCAGATGTTGTACCAAAAACCACATTCAGCAGGAGACTTTTTCAGACTTTACTGGACATTAACTCGAGGGAGTCTCCTTTAAGAATGTTAAGTTGTGGCTGGTGTTTCAAACATTTCTCTGTATGGCCTTTTATTTTTTTAAAGTGCTAGTATAACAAAATGCTCCTATACTGCCAGGAACAATAATTCCATTGGAATAAATAAAGCACCCTTCCAGAGAAGGGGTGTCTATCATTATGCTTCTCATTAATTACCTTTAAAAACTTTCCCTTTTTCAGAGTGGTCAAGCTGGCATATATGTTGTGAGCCATGCCCACACTATTTTATCTGCACAACCCCCTTGTGAGGTAGCTTAGGATGAGACGCAGTGACTGCCCCAAGGTCATCCAGTGAGTTGCTTGGCTGAGTCGGGATTTGAACCTGCAGCTCTTCAGCACTGTAACCTTAACCTTGGAGGCAGGTTGCCTGCATACAGCAGTTGCTGGGATCACAAACAGAAGAGTATTACTTACTCATGCAGCTGTCTGGCCAGTGTGTGTTCAGACTGCTGGCCCACATGGACCTTCCTCTGTCCCAGCATGGCTTTTCTTATGTCCTTACATACTCACTACCCCAATAAATAAATAGTACCTGTTAAATTGCAATACAGGAAGGGTTTTGCCAATGAAGCCTCTGGCAGTGATTGGCTGAGCACCTTAAACAGGATTGCAACTGTCTGATTTCAGAAAGCCTTGATAACTATGCAGCTCATGAGGTGATGTCCCAAAGACTTGCGTCAGCTCTGGAATGATGACCCTAGAGGGACTGGAGGGAATAGTCCAACAAAGATAGTGAAAAGCACATGCAACCTTGAAAATAATGCCAAAGCACATTGTTTTGAGACAACAGTGTCTGTCTTGAAGTAATTTTTCATTCCACCTTCTTGTCCATCATGAGCGAGCTTGCTTGCTTGCTACTCTTTAAGTCAATTCAGACAACCTAATAACTTACACCCAGGAATTGAGTATGGGTTGCATGTGAGTTCTTGTTGAATTGTAGGTGGTTATTGAAATGTGTGTTCTGTGTTCTCAGAATCAGAGATGAGCTTCACTGAGAAGCGTAATCATTTATCCTTTTGGTGCCTCATGGTCTCTAAAGCCAAAAGCAGGCCAAGTCAGTGTGGTTAGACCCTAAATAAAAGACAGGCAAAAAAATCTAGGAAAAGAAAGTTAGCAGACATATGAGCCTAGGTAACCAGGACTTGGGATGGCAATTGGCCAGGAAAAGCTGGGTGAGCTTTGGAAATGAGCAATGGACAATGGGGAAAAGCAGAGCACTATGGGGGAGGGGAAACAATAGGCAGAGATAGAAGAGAACTGCATTTGGCCAGGAGCAGTGGAAAATCACATATTGATTTGAAAGAACCAGCCAAATCTTTGGCTGCAAGCCTCTAGTACAAAGCATTGTAAAACCCCAAACAGTGCAATACAGCAACATTCCAGAATGCTCTAAGCATGCAACAATTATAGCACCATTGCCATTAATACAGGTCAAATCTCCTTTCATAAAATTTTCATTAAAAAAGACACTGGCAATCTTCTCTCTCAAAAGGGTTCATTGCCCAATCCAAAATCAATATTAAGGTTTACAAATTGTACTTCTGAAGACAAATCACCATGCTGCTTCTTTTGTATGCAAGTTCAGGCTTATGTCACTTTTATATTGAAGACATAAGAAGATATAAGATGGAGGAGGAGATGTAAGCTGCCTTGAGCCCTTTGAAGGAAAAAGGCAGGATATAAATTGAAAAATAAATAAAAAATATATTGAAGAGTTATAATTTATTGAGTGATCAACGTTGGTGATGCTTGAATGAATTTCAATAACCCGTGTCCCTTTCTTTGATTCTTTTATTCATGGTACCCTGGCAGCCACTGGTAAAAACCAACTTAAGCCTGTATTTATTTATTTATTTATTTAAAATATTTATACCCTGCCCTATATACAAAAGCATCTCAGGGCGGCTTACAAAAATCAAAACAAACAATCCAACAATTAACAATAATTAAAAATGTGCATAAAACCAACAATAACATTTCACAAATGAAAACAAAATCAAAACAGAATCAAACTTTTAAAGAACAGGAGCAAAATCAAAATCAAAATGCAACTGTGAATAGTTAAAACCAGATTAAAATTCCTAGCATTTAAAATAGTGGGCAAATAAAAAGTTTTTCACCTGGCGCCGAAAGGAATATAAAGTTGGTGCCGGGCAAACCTCTCTGGGAAGCGCATTCCATAGTTTGCTCCACATACTGCTCTACCAAGTGGTCTGGATTAGCTTGTTAACACCAGGAAAACAGCTTTACATATAGCTTGTCAGGGCAACTTGTGGCCTTCAGTTGATGTTGGACTGCATCACCCATCAGCCCTGGCCAACTTAGCCAATGCTGAGGCATGATGAGAGTTGTAGTTCTGGAGAACCTGAAATCACCCATTCCTACTATATAACAAGATACGTCAATTGTTGGCTCATAGACCCATTCTGCCTCTTGGGACATTTTAATCTGATCCTTACTATGGTGAAGAGCTTGACCAGTTTCACTCACAGGAATATTTTCAAGCTGTAAGAAATAAAGGCTGTGTGCTTTAACATGACATCTCTCCTTAGATAATTATCAATGTTGTCATTGTTCTCTTATGCCCAAGGTCACACACTTAACCTGCTATGCCTGAAGACATATTCATAACTGCTAAGCCTTTATCACTAGGTGGCAGCAACCCTACTAGGTAGCATTGCCCTATTGCGAGGAGATCAGTTTAAGGAACAAAATAGATCATTGTTTCCCAGACCACCATTGTACCATTTGGATCTGGACAGGGGATAACTGCATTTAAATCTATGCTTGAAGGTCAGTCTTCTCAGTAAACACCTCACAAAGTTGTTGTGAGGACAGTGGCAGAAATCTATGTATGAACTTCTTGGAGGACCGGTATGATACCAATATTATAAATAAACAAATTGCCATAGGTTACTTTGAACTACCGGTGTAATAATTTGTGGAGAGTTGGGAATGATACTTGGGCTCATAAATAAAGGGAAATAATTTGAGCAAGTATGCTATTGCAAAGGTCTTAGTGGTTTGGTCCAACGACTTAACATGCACATCCTTTACCTTGTGCAAATTATAACTCTGATTCTGTGATCCTGCGAAGCCGTGTTTTCAGATGGATCTTTGCAGCCTACAGTCATCACAATAAGAAATGTGGAGCACACGGACAACCCCCATTTATTTCAATGGGTCAGGGTAGAGGAGCAGGATTTGAAGGACACCCACTTCTTACCTCCAACTGTGGTCAAACTTTGAACTGTTGAAAGTTATTTCTTAAATCAAATATCACAAGGAATTTATTACTTTTTAAATTATTTTTTCAATATAAAATATAATTAAAAACTTACAATTAATATGAAAACATGAAATATTAAACATTATACATACAATTAAATTAATTCATAAAAAACGCTGTGCACCTCATTACTCAGACCATTGGCTACATGTTGAGAATTCATTCAAAAATTCTTTCAGGAAATTTTCCCCTTCCAAAATTGCAATGACTCTTGTAAAGGTTCTAATCCTTTCCCCTTTTTTAAAACACGTATTCAATAAATGTACCCCAAATCTCATTAAAATATTTTTCTTTCTATATCCTTTGCTCACTTTAATATCACAAGTTAATGTACCTTTAATACATATTCCAGACTTTTCTATACCAATCGCAAAATTGATAATCATATTTTACTTTCCAGTTCTTAGCCATAATTAATCCTGCAGCTATTGTTAAACTTGTTATAAGATAAAAATCTATTACTTTTGCATCAGCAGCAACCTCTTCAAATTTGTTTATTTTTTTGTGTGTCTTTTTAGAGATTTAAGGGGAAATAAGTTTGAATGTGACTGCAAAGCCAAGTGGTTGTTTATGTGGTTAAAGATGACAAATTCCACTGTTTCTGATGTCCTGTGTGTTGGTCCAGCAGAATTTCAGGACAAGAAGTTAAATGATCTCTCGAGTTTTGATGATGAATGCACCACTACAGGTATGTTAGGTTTCATCCTCTGTTCCTCAAAGGTAGTAGTCCTGATCCAATTCAGAGCTATGCCTACTTACTCTAGCTTAAAATACATATTATCTTCAGCTAACTGCTGCACATTTGTAGTTTGGTTCTTTAAAGTAATGTGTAGGAAAGTCCTGTTGACCATACTAGCATTTAATTTCAGATTAAACATGTATGGGATTCCACTGTAAAAAGGGCTTCATCTTCCTGGATTGATTCAGATTGAGCAGGGTATGTCAAGCCAAAAGTAAGGATAGAAATGAATGAGTGAGTCACTAAATAAATGTTATAGATGGACGACTCAGATCTACAGCCAGAATGGTGGTCCTGTGTCCTATTCGTCACCAACTCTGGTGACATGTATTATTACTGTATAATAGATCACAATCTCCAGAGCCCACGTCCTCCATTGCCCTCATGTTAAGGGCTATGTGCCTTCCAACTTTGCGGCAGCGAACTGTCAGGTCTGAGAAATCTTGTTTAGGTGGTGACATAAAAGTAGATTACAAATAGTATATAAGCTCTCAAAGCAAAATATGAAGTTCCATTCAAGAGGCAGAAAGATTAACAGTTCAATGTGAATTCTTCAAAAGTGCCATGAAATATACCAAAAGTGAAGACAGATTTAAACTGCCAATTAAAATGAAAAAAGTATTAGAATTCCTGAGCATTGCACACGGGAATATCACTGCTGGGGGTGCAAAATTAGAAGTCAGGGGTTATATCACTTGTGATATAACTTTTCCTCAGAAGTCTTGTTGTACACTATTGGTGCCCTGTCAATTTATTTATGTGCATGTGATGCTGGGACGTATGTACTGGGGGACAATGTCAGTTTGGAAGAATGCACATATTCATCACTTGTATGTTTGAGGAGGGAGAAGGAATTATGTATATTGCCTGGACATTGTGCAAAGTTGACCATGAGCATGGCCTGGACTTTGATTAAGGGCTATCTTTTATTAACTGGGCTATGTATGAAAATATCTGTGATCAATTAACATTCTCTAACATTCCAATGTAATAATAGTATTTATAATTATTACATTGCATTTATATCCTGCCTTTTTGCCTCTTGCAAGGAACCTAAGGCAGCTTACACAGTTCTCTTCCACTCCAGCTTTATCCTCACAACAACCCTGTGAGGTAGGTTAGGCTCAGAGTGAGTGACCAGCCCAAAGTCATGGCCTAGAGGGTGACAGAACTTGGATCTCCCAGATTCCCACCCCAGCATTCTAACCACCACACACACCGGCCCTTTCCATTATCCATATTGATAAGGCAGTGCACACAATCTCCTGCTGACGTTCTCCCTCGGTATATATCCTGCTTTTGCTTTCCTCTGAGTGTGCACAATTGCCAGTAGTGCAACAGCTGTAGTGGGATGCAGCAGTTAAGACCATATTCTCTGAGCTGAGATTTCCTGGTTCAAGGGTCACCTCAGCCATGAATTAAGTGGGCAGTGATGGTATGTCCATAAGCTTGCCCTTATCTTTCAGACTCAGACACCCACCTCCCCAGTAAAATGGGAATGATTATTCACATATTTTCCAGTGTTGCAACGATTATAAAGATGTTAGGGAATGCACTATATGCATGTTAGGAAATGTTACTGACTTCTACCCCCCTGTGTTGTACTGGAGAAAGGTCATGCCACAAACTTCAGGCCAGATGGAGGTGGTCTGCGCTGTTGCTGGGGAACATTGTGCAATCACTGACAGAAGGCTTCTTGGACTTCACTGTCAGAGAGGCATCGTGAAAAGGCGGTTAGGAGATTTTCCCGCCACACCATTGCTTCTTGATCTGAACAATGACAGGGGAAATAGTTATGCCTTTAAAAAGGATAAAATCAGCGAAATGTTTTCAAAATAGCAGCAGGAGAAGGAAAATGCTGATAAAGCAGAGCAATGCCATTAGGGAAGGAACAATTTCATAGTCTACCTCTAGAAGAGAAATGTGATTTTTTAAAAATAGAGTATTCCAGCAGTGTGAAGTGGAAATCTTTAGAATCCATACTGTGAAACAAATTGCTGATATGCTTTCCTTTGCTATTGGCTTCTGTCACTTCACTGTCATTTAAGCTTTTCCCATTTAGCTTTGTTGAAGCAAAGCATAGAAGAAAGTGCATGTTTGCTTATTAATGCTCTGTTCACAAATTAGTTCATAATTTCCCATTCTAAGGTGTCTGATTCATAAGAAAATTAGCAGAAGATAGGAAGGAGTATGGAGGACTTGATAAGTCATACCCTAGTTTCAAAAAATTATACTGTAAGCCTGGAAAATTTGGTCTCTTAGCACATATCCTTAGAGTTAAAGGACCAAATTCTACAGGACTGTATCTGACTTTTGACTATATATGCAAGTCTGCCCAAAACCAGAGTGAAGAGAGGCAATTTAAAGCACAAATGGAGCAGATGAGGAGAGGGCTAAATCCTAATTCTATTCCATTGCTTTTCCTTCTGTCCCGCAAAATTATTTCTCCCAACAAGGCTTTCCCTGTTGCTTTTAAAGGCACCTTGTGTTAGTTTGTTCATGGATTCTGCCCAGTCTTTGTGTAATGTGTGTGTTTTCAATTAAACATGTGTTTTTTCAGATTTTGTGATTCATCAGATTTTACCTTACCAATCAGTTTCTGTTGACACATTCCACTCGAAAAATGACGTGTACGTAGCCATTGCCCAGCCCAACATGGAAAATTGCATGGTGCTAGAGTGGGATCACATTGAGAAGAACTTCAGAAGTTATGACAACATTACTGGTAAAATGAATGCACGTCTGATTTGTATTATTACCTACTGCTTTATTACTTCCTTTGGTACATGTTTTTAATATAAGTCTGTTTATTTGTGTATTTATTTATTTATTTGTATGCAGGTATGAGAATAATCTTGGCTCACTGAAAAAATTATCCCTTACTGGTATCTGCTGAAATTGAGTTGCAGCCAGGGGGGTAAACAAAAATTAGTGTTAACTACAAAAATCATTACAAAGCAAAATTTATTTATTTATTTATTAACAATATTTATATCCCGTCATTTACAAAACATCCCAGGATGGCTTACAAATGAGGGAATGAAAAGTATATGGAGCAGAGTGAACAGAGTGAACTAGTTATCCTGGTGGCCAGAGAAAAAATTAGCTCTTCAAGCCACCAGAGAGAGCATAGATCTAGCCCCACATCAAGTATTCTCCTATGGAGAAAGCTGTTACATGAAAGCTGCCCCCACACATTGATTGACATAGGAAGAATCCAATGGAACAGTGCAATGGACCTTTCAATCTCAGCGGAGGTTTTATCTCTGTCCAATAGTATGGCTGACTTCAGCCTGTTCATTAGGCTCCACAGAACTCACTGAGCACCAAGACTGCTTCTAACTGCATAGCTCTGCCCTGCATTCTGTTTCTATGATTGAATCATCTAACTCTTTTACAAAAAAATAGGAAGTTAAATTAGTTTGAAGCCAAAGTACTGGGACACGGAAAATGCAGGAGATTTCCCCAATCCATTTTCCCAGCACAAGTCACCCCCTGAGCATCTTTCTGGAGAAACGCTGCTGAGAAAAGAATGAAACTCACACCCTGAGCTCTCTAATCCAGATCCACTGTGCTCAATGATGTCATAAGTGTAGCAGAAATCATGGGATGGGTGAGGGAGGTGTGAGTTGAATGTTCACTGTGTGTGTTGCATTTAACATGGGTGAAGTCACATGCAATACCTTCTAAAGAGGAATTCCTGTATATGAAAGCTAATTCTAAAGCATAAAACTGCCAACTTGCACCAGTGAACCCAGCTGCTGAAAATATTTCTTTATTTATTTCTAATGGAGAATCTACTCATTAACTTCTCTTTAATTTGACTTGTGGCAATAAGACTGAACCCAGGAAGTATACATTTTTAACTAAGAGTTGTGCCTGGAAAGAAATAATTGTAAAATAAAAATATTCTTACTATATTTATTTATTCTCCATTAAATGGTCTATCAATTAGACAAGCAATTTTTGGATGAAATGCCTACACATCTCAACCCATAATGCTAGTCAATTCTTTCTTCCTCCCATGTCTACCTAAAGGCAAAATGGTAATATTGCCTTCACATTTCTTCACATCTTCCTGTCCCTCCCCTCCCCTTCTAGTCCTTGTCTTCCTCTTCACACATGGCAGCTCAAAACACTTTTTCATGTTACTAGTTGTTAGCTAATAAATGACACGGTGATGCTTATCTTGCCGCACCAGGTCTAATTACAATAAACAGGCCCATTAGCAGACCAGAAATTATTCCAATTCAGTGTCATTCCCTGTCCTCCTAGGTTCACCTCTGTCAGAAAATCTATACTCTGAGCTAAAGTAGAAAAGTCTCAACTGATGTGCACTTTTTGACTAGGCATTCTCAGGGCAGTTGGGAAGGAATAATATTGGACACAAGCATACCCTGCAAAGACAAGTCCCTTACTCGCTGGCAAGGTCAAGGTTTCTCAGGGTAGGAGAGAGAAGGGCTGGACCAAGGCAACTGCGGAGGGAGACAAAATTGTACATCAGAGAGACAAACTGAAGTCAGTGCCCACAATACCAGCAAATTACTTTGTTTCTGTATCAGGCAAGAAAGAAGAAGAAGCTGTCTCTCCCTGGCCAGGGCAGAAGACAGACAAGCTGCTACAGCAGTCAGAGTGCAGGGCTGCATAAGTTCCTGTCAATCTCACCCCCCATTAACTCTGTTAGGAAGCCCATTTTAAAAGAAGGCCTGAGTTTTGATAACTGTCAAATCTCTGTGTGCCCACTTATGGGGTACCTCATATTTTTTCACTCTGCTCAGCACATAGAGTCTTGGAAAGAGGTAGAAAAGGTGGAAGACACTGAGAACAGTGAGTAAAATAACAAACCAAAACCTAGAGGACTTCACTAGTAAGGAGGTGATCTCCTTTTGCCAACAAAAATCCCCTTGTGGCTTCACTTCCTGTTTGACAGCTCAGCACGTGACTTCTGTTAAATAAGAAGCAGAGCTTCTCCGCTCACTAACCAGTTTATAACATTCCTTTGTCACTGTCTGTGGAGTTTACCTTCTATATTTTAACAGGAAACATCATTCAGGGCATTGGGGAATGATTGCCATAGCTGGAGTTGCACAACTCCAAAAACCTAACAACTAAAGCAAAACGAACAAGACAAGACAAAACATTAAAGAGGGGGGAGTGATAAAAGTGGCGTACCAGTGACTGCCATGTCCATGGGCCACATGGGCATTTCAAAGGGGCTATCATTGGTTGTCACTTTGAAAATTACGCAAAGCAATCTCTGAAAATCGAATGGGTAAAAGGAAAAATAAGCCACAATGACCTCAAAAGATCTGAGAAGTATGGGAAACAAATCTAGTAGTGGCCTCTCAAAATGCCACTTGGGTCTTGGTGGAGCAGCTGTCACTGGTAGTGTCCAAGGCAAGTTCAACAAGAGCAGCAAGGGGGGTTTGGCCAGGTTTGGATGACATGGCAACAACCTGTAGAGCAAGTTGTGGGCTGTCAGGGTAGCTTGTTGCCCACAAGCTTGAAGGAAACCTCCAAGTTCACATGACATGATAACCTACCACAAACAGTTGGGTAGCTGTGTCATGCAAACCCAATCAGTGATTCACTTCAGACCTTCACTGATGAGGGCATCTATTCACTGGTCAGGTTTCCAAATTTGCATGCATATGACATTCGCAGTGTTTTCTTGTGGCTATCCTGATCTGGCCCCATCCCTAAAGCACCTTCAAAACAATGAGAAATTCATCAATATTCTCTTTTAAAGGTCTGGTTATATTCTAATATTGTTGTTTTGTTTGAGCCAACAGGTCAGTCAATAGTGGGATGCAAAGCAATTTTGATTGATGATCAAGTTTTTGTGGTGGTGGCTCAACTTTTTGGTGGCTCGCACATTTACAAGTATGAGGAAAACTGGACAAAATTTGTCAAATTTCAGGAAATTGAAGTTTCCCGCATTTCAAAGCCAAATGATATAGAGCTCTTTCAGATAGAGAGCGAGACATTCTTTGTCATTGCTGATAGCTCAAAAGCTGGTTTGACAACAATCTATAAATGGAACAACAAGGGATTCTACTCTTACCAGTCCCTGCATGAATGGTTCCGGGACACAGATGCCGAGTTTGTTGATATAGATGGAAAATCTCATTTGATCTTGTCAAGTCGCTCACAGATTCCCATCATCCTTCAATGGAACAAAAATTCCAAGAAGTTTCTCCCACACAGCGAGATCCCCAACATGGAAGATGTGTTGGCTGTTAAAAGCTTCCGAATACAGGACAACCTCTACATTTCACTCACAAGATTTATAGGTGACTCAAGAGTAATGAAGTGGAATAGCAAACAATTTGTTGAGATCCAGGCTCTGCCATCACGGGGAGCGATGACCCTTCAGCCTTTCTCCTTTAAGAATAATCACTACCTAGCCCTGGGAAGTGACTACACCTTCTCTCAAATATTCCAGTGGGATAATGAGAAGAAGCTCTTTAAAATATTTAAGGAGATCTATGTGCAGGCCCCTCGCTCGTTCACAGCTGTGTCGACAGACAGAAGAGATTTTTTCTTTGCTTCCAGTTTTAAAGGCCACACACAAATATTTGAACACATAATTGTTGATTTGAGTTTATGAATGTGCTGAGCAGAAGAAGTGGGAGGGGGCAACTCATGTACAATGACATTTTCAAACATAAACAAATGGGATGGACAGATTAATCACTCCCTGGAGGTAGGATGTACTGATGGAGTTAGTCAGCTGTTTTCTGAACTTTTCAGAAGTTTGCGTATTTAATCAGGGATTGCATTAACTTGGTTAACTGCATGCCACACCCATTTTGCCACTGGCAAAGTAAAGACACTTTAAAGCCTATTATTACTCAGACAAAGCGTGCAATGCATTAGAATTAAATCTAACATATCTAAAGCAATGATGGAACATCTATACATATGCAGGTGGGGAACTAAGAGAGGTAGGAAAGGTTCTGTGCAGAAACACACACAAAAAAGCTGCAGTTTGAGTCGTTATTTTCAGAACCGGCATTTAAACAGCAACAGCAATTTGCAGAAGGTAGTACCAAGATGAAGAAGCAGGTTCTGACACTTTGCCTCACATGAGCCAAAACCAAACACCTCTTGGCATCCCAACAGGGGGCAGAAGCAGCTCCAGCTATTGCAAGAGGAGCCTCTAGGGGGCACTGTTAAATTTTGAGATCATGAAACGTGAAGTGTTTCTGAACTGTGAAATGCCTGATTCCAGGGGAGGAGGAAGTGGTGCACATGTGATCCATGCCCTAATAATTTCTCCCAAGTGGCTAGCTCGCCTCAGACCTGCATCCAGTGGTCCCCCAGGCTGTCAGCCAGCTAATGGGCAGAGCACTAGTGCTGATACATGACATTCATGGCCTAACTAGATAAGGCATAACCCTAAGGCATATAGTGGCTGCCATCCCATATCTCCATAGAAAAAAGTGGGTTATTAATGTCATCACATTGTTTCCCTATTGCAATTATTTCATTGGCTGCACACTCACTTGGATCCAAGTAGTTAAACTCTTCACTGATTTCAATAGGAGAGTATTATGCACATGCTTAACTCTTTCATTGAAAGACTTTGGAATAAGTAGTCCTTCTCTTTGGCTGGATAATGCCCTGTTAACTCTGTCTTACTCCTTTCATTTGTTCCCTGAGTAATTTTGACATGGCATCCTATGTCCTGGCCATTAGAATTTGATGTTTGCAATTAGCCAGTTTGTGTCTTCTTTCTTTATCTATATTGTTTGCCATATGCCTAAAAAAAGAAAAACTCCCCTGGGAATCGCACAAAATGGCTGCCTTATTCAAATGCAGGCTACATGATTAAGCTGAAGTGAAACGTGTGTGCAAAAATCAGTTCTGCATCCAGTTATTAAACGTTCTTATATTTAGTGCAGAAGGACTTTACATCAAGTTCTCACATTCAAACAATGAAATTGAAAGCTATACAAATATTCAATGGCTTCAGGATGAATGCTTGCAGCCTCTAAAGAATTCTACTCTTCTTTTTGCATTCACATTATTCTTTTTCCCCAGAAAAGCATGTTTTCAAACAGAAAAGGAGCATTACTGATAATAGTAATGATAATAGCAACCATATTATCCCTTTGATGCTCACAAACATAAGGTAATTCAGTACATTAGTCATAGCATATTACTAAAATAATCCACAGTGTTACATATAAATGAATTTATATATCCCAGTTTAAGACTGTTCTTGTTTGTCTTTGAAAGGGAATTTTTGAAGAAATGTACATTCCTTCTGAAGATCTTAAAAAACAGTGCATGACACTTGTTTGTGCTGGGTTCAGTGGGACTAAGTTCAATTAGCCTGTTTCCCCAAACCAGACCATTTTGGTAATAATATAAGGTTGGCAGGTTGCAACTCAGAGAGCACACTTTTCATAATGAGTGTGTAGAAGAGGTCTGGTCATACCTTCTTTCCTGGCTTACCCATTGCTTATCCTCTCCTATGCAGAGCAGATGGAACTTCAATGCTGCCTCCCAGCAGAAGGGAGAGGAGGAAGCACAGTAAGATCAAGGAAAGAAAGGGGTGTGATGCACATGGGCAGCAACGCTTCTTATTGCTAAAGGTACAAGTGTGCTCCCTGGTTTAAAACCTAGTAGCTCTACATGCTTGCTGACAACACCAAGGATGTGTCAGAGAACTGTGTGCCAAAACAACCCCCCACCCACCCCGCTTAGCTCTCTTCTTAATGTGTATTATTTGTAAAATCAGATTAAGGTTTTATTTGCAGAGATCTGTAACGGCTCTGTTTACAAGCAGAGCTCTTTGATCAACCAAGTGGCTTCCCTGCCCTTATTTGGAACACTGTATTTTACACAACATTTTTGCACCATGTGGGCCAAATTCTCTTTTACCCCCACCCATTTGAGACAAGCCAGTGAAGCGATAGCTGTTCACATCGGTGTTAAATGAAGCACTGAAAATGTTAGCAGTAGGTCACTTCAGGCAATCCAACTGTTAAAAAGCTCTGCTGATGCCAAAACAAAGCAGCTCCAGTGCACAACTCAAGAATCAAGGTTGTTCAGCAGGCTTTAAAAAGAAACATTACAGTTTACAGATGATAGAATGCCGGTTGCAGCCTTCATTCATCATAACTAGAGTAACCCTGCAGTGTGTGGAGACGTTGTCATGGCTGGTTGAGAAAACGCTGTATGTTCACCCAGAGAAGCCGTGTTCTCATCTTCCATTCTGGTTATAAGCAAAGCTACCGTGTATAAAGAGAGCCATGCTACTTACTTTGTCTCAACAGGCAAGGTGAGGGGAATCATGACCGAAAACAGACCTTGCCCAGACAATTTGGAAGTTTCCGATGAGCCCACAGTGGATGTTTATGGGTCAGAGACTACTCTCAGGGTTTGGACTTAGCAATATTTGGCACTTTAGAGCAATAAATAAAATGGCCCAAGTCCAAAGGAAACAGCTAAGAATCTGGCAGCACCTTAAAAACGACCAAATTTAATGTGACGTGACTTTTTGCAGACTGATGTCTACTTTTGGCAGATGCAATCATGAAAGCTTGTCCCCAGATAAACCTAGTGGTCTTTAAGGTGCCATGAGGTTCTTTGCTGTTTTTGCTGCAACAGACCTAACGTGGCTACCTCCATCTGCAATGCAGAGATGATTAAGCATGCTTCTATGCCACTGGAATCAAGGGGAGCTAAACACCCCCTTCTTCAATTCTATTTATTTCTATGGACTATCTGTGCATGCAAGGATCACTGGATTGTGTCCAGTGTCTCCTCTAATATACTTTCATTATAAAATAAATGAGGCACCCCACGTTGCACCCCACAAATACTATCAGAATCCCCTTATTCCACTGTAGTACTAGGTGACCTCGATTTTCCTAATCATGGAAAGAAGCAGCATGCCCCAGTGATAAGCATGATTATGACTTCTATGCTATGACATGCTGTATGTGAAAATATTTCATGATATGATATTAGTAGCTAATATATAAATTGAATCCCTGGAAATAATCAACACGGAGTCTGAGTTGCTTTGTTTTCATCAAGTATTTTCTAATATCCCATAGAAGAAAACAGTTCTGGCTTTTAAGAGCGATGTGTGATTTAAGACACAAGCCAGCCAAAGTTAAGATTCCTGTATTTCAGTGGGCCTGATTTAAGGAATAATCCTATGGCCCCAACATGTCTGAGGGCATATTCAGTAATTCTGATTCTGAACTCCAAGGCGCTCCAACCGTGAAGCTGGTAGCTGGAGCTCTCGTACCTCTCCGCCCCTCCCTCAAAGCCATCACTGAAAGAATGGCACAAGCTGCTCCCTGTGGCTGGGGAAGCAACCCTGGAGAAAGATTAAAAGAGAAAAGAAGACACTAGGGAAGAACGTGAGATCTCCTGAAGCTGCTCCAGCTTTCTTTCCTCCTGCTTGGAGACACTGTGACTTTAGTTGCTATGTGCTGGTCAAGTCATCTACAACTTATGGCGACATTACGGAGGAATTCCCTCCAGTGTGTCCTGTCCTCGACAGCTCTACTCAGTTCTTGTAAACTCAAGGCTGTGGCTTCTTTTATGGAATTCACCCATTAAATGTTTGGTCATCATCTTCTGCCTTCAACTTCCCCTAACAGGATTGTCTTCAGCAAACCTTGCCTTTGGTGGGGAGGTGAAGGTCATTTCCATTTTCCTTTCCACTCTGCACTGGATGAGTATTCGCCCCTGAACTTGGAGGCTCGGACCCCTCCCAATAAGACTGCACCCTTCACTATGATCAGTAATAGTACTGAAATTCATTTGCAGTTTGCCCTTCTCCTGGAGAGTTCCAGACAATGTAGATGGCGCTGTCGCTCCCCACCCCAATTTTATTTCTGCAACAGTGTTCTGAGGCAGGTTAGGCTGCAACACAGTGGTTGACCCAAACCTTCATGACTCACTTTGGATGTGAATTGGGCCCTGCCAGTCCTAGTCCTGCACTCTGACCACGATGCCCCACCAGCTTAACTCTCCCACTGAAACCAGCAGTTAAAGGCTCTTCATTTTGACTACATCGTGCCTCTGTTTCTACCATTGCATTCAAATAAGTCTTTTATTTAATAGGAAGATTCTGTGTTAACTGCTGATGGTCAGTATAGAGCATAATTAACTGGGGGGCAGGGGACAGACCAATGATTTGATTTGCTATAGGGTAGCTTCCTAAATTACCACTAATGGTCTGGAGATAGCAAGCCATGTTCTGCCAGACAGTGGGTGCCCTCAGTTGCAATAGATTTCTGTATATTCACATTCCATTTTTAATTGGACCTTTCACTTTTGTAGCTTGCTTTTTTTAATAGGTCTCCCAGGATTATATAAACGAGTCCCATGCAACAAGCTTTAACAGAGCAGCGCATGGCTGACAGCCAGCTGCATCTCTTCTATTAGCGCACTTGCCTTGGAAAGCCAAAAAGGTATTGAAAATGCATCATTATGAATACATGAATGGATGCATTTTAAAGTGAAGCATTTTCAATAAACATCTTTCATAAAGGCATTTATACCACAGTTGCACTCCCGCTTACCTGAGAAGCAGACTCTAATCAAACTTCTTTCAAGTGTGCATGCAACCTACCCAAG